GCGAAACGAACTTTTGCTATTTCACTAGTCTGAAGTCCAGTTGATGATATGCTGCTGATTACACAGTGTACAACGCGGAAACAAGGCATTTACATCTGTAAAAGCCCTGGGAGTTTTCCCTGTTCATCAGTGACAGCAGAATTATTTTAAGCCTTTGAATAGGAAAGAACAGGTGTGCCAATGATCGGTACGGCAGTGGCAGTCAATTTTAATTCATCCAATGGGCTCAAATCTAGGTCACTAGAATATTAATACACCCGTTTCTTCAGTTGGCCGAGTATTGGTCGCTTTCCTCGCTTTGACCATTGAGAATATATCGAAATATTGTTAGCTCGGGTGCGTCAGTTTGTTGTAGATCAAGTGGCTGTTGATCTGTATGCCGGGCTTGGTAGTTTGCCTGCAGACATTCTCTCACGATCAGACCGATAGCTACCTGACCTACAACCAATCACTGTTTTTATTGGATCGACTTATTCACAATTGCCTGCTCGATCGCACCTGTTTAATCACGCGGATTGGTCCCAGCCAATCTGATGGTGGACGATCGTGGCGCCCGAATTTTAATTTCAGTGATGGCTGCAGTCTTCGATACGTTGGTATTGACGCGAAGACAATTTTTTAGATTCATCATCAAAATATCCCACTCGGAACGAATCGACCACTCTGTTGCGTTCCGCGCTAAACTTTTCGTTTTCCCGCAATGTCGATTTGGGTAGTTTGTTTAAGACGCTATAGGTTATTGCTTTCCTGTGCCGGTTCTTACTTTCTATTTCTTATTCATATATGTTTGTTCATGGGTCAGTTTTTCACGGTTCTCTGTCCCCTCTCGTGTTAAGATAGTTTGAAAACGATTAGAATTTTCATAAGAGAAACTACTCATAAGGTAGCTGAGAACCCTTCGACAACCCAAGACCGGTTTTGCCCCTGTTGGGATGTCCAAGAGCTTTCAGCAAACTGAGTGGTTTCCTTTATGAAAATACGCTGCGATATCTCGAATATCGTACCAACTGGCCTTCGTGCAGCACATTCATTTGAAGAATACCATACACGGGAGATTCAGTTGAGTCTCCGTTGAAAACCCAGTTACTATGAAAATGAGTGTATTTGTCACAATTAGTCTTATTAAACGGGTACAGTACGCGCGACAAGTACACTCGTTTGCAAATCAATTTGGTTTTCACGGGAAACTCGAGTGAATCCCTCGTGTATAATGTTATTCAACTGGACCTGCACGAGGGTGAGTAGAATTTTCGTAATCAGTTCAATTTAGGGGACTGCGCCTACCTGATGAGCCCCAATAAGGGTAAAACCGATCGTGAGCTGTCGACGAGTTTTCAGCAGCCTTGTGGTTAGTTCCCATTAGGGTACCGTACTGCTTCTCAATCAAGATTTCACGAAACAAGCAGATTTGGTCACGTTAAACACGTCGTGTTTCATGAAAATGTTATTACTGTGTATAGCCATATCACCATGCTACGGAAAAGTTGGTTTTACACCACATGGACAGGTACACTGGGTTTTTGAAATGTGGATTTTTTTAAAATAAAAGATGCTATATGACCCTCGAAACACAGTAACCTTATTTTAGCATTGGCATGCCTGATATGGTCTCCAAATTTACTGGAGTCCTTATCAGTAAGAATATCTATATAACGCTTTAATAGCAGAATGTGAGAAATGGAGCCAGAGTTCTTTGCCACAACTTTCTACTGCACTAGTTGTCTAAACCCTTGATCCATCAAGGCGATTTGAGCAGGAGCATTCCGTCTCGTTGAACGACATCAGATACTCCAGCAGTGGTGCAATTTCTTAAAACATCTTGGAAGTATCCATGTCAGTAGCACTGTGCCCTTTAGGATTTCTGACTCTCAAACCATCTTTTCTCAGTGCTTCCTTCAGTTTATTCTCCCAGTTTTTCATCTCCGCAACCGAAGGTTTTTCGATTCCAGTAAGCTCCCTTAGACTGTAATCAAAGTAACACACTTCATCAGTAATGCACTGGTAAGCTCAGTGACAATGTGTACAGAACTGTCGTCTGATCACCCCCACCGAGTTAACTGATTGGAGGTTAGCTAACGTCACAAAATGCCATTGTCGTGGCAATCAGACCAATCATGTCAGGCGTCCTTCAGCTTGTTCTCATGGACCGCTGTGCGCACTCAGTCTGACACGGTGCGGTTACATACTGTCTGTGCTAGACAGCCGTTATCGTGCGAAGCTTACTTCACTATCTGATGTTTTTATCGTGGTTATACTCAAAGTTTAACATCGCTTGCTTCTGTGTTTCTTGTTCGACGACACTGGCTATGACCGGCTACATATTATACTAGGGATAACGCTCCCTGTTCATGATCCAATTTCCCGCCCAGTATCCTCTTTTGTATCTTTCTCTGTCCACCGTGGAATCGTCGTGCTTTTCCGGCCCTCATCATGTCTGTTGAATGTATGAATGTCTGTTCTGTGCGGACTAATTTATTATTATCTTTCTGGTGACTTGCTATGGATCATACCCGTCAAATGGGGACACATTCGTGTTTGTGACATTGTGTCACGAATTCATAGCAGGTAGGTGAGTAGGATCATTGAAGAGACTAGCACAAAGCAATCCGTTCATTTACTGAATCAGGCGGCGCCACACGTACCCAAACCTTGATATGTGGAAGGCCGCAAAGGCTTGCTGTCTAAATAGAAAATAAGGCTACGAGAGATTCCTGGACTAGCATAAGTAGGGAAAAGCTGGTGGTAGAGTGTTCAGAGTCTTCATAGGCCGCTTTAACAGTCCTGAATCCATGTTTTTTACGAAGGTTCGTTTCCTTGATTCTCCTCCGTCACTGTCCGTATTCTGGGCGGATAGAACGATTCCCATGAATAGGTAGCCAATCCTTGATCATTGGTTTGACTACAACTTCCACAAATGATGCTTCACCTCGTTTAATCTGACTTCTTGCTGGCTACATAGATAAGTGACGTAATATTCCAGCTGAAGGTGTGCCGATTTTCTTGTTTTACTAGTTGATCTGGTCAATGGATAACTCGTTCGGCTGCAGCACCCTTTCGGTGCCTAGCGGCCATGCCAAACGAAGGAGGCACGAGGGCTGAACACACGAAGGAGGCACGAGGGCTGATATACTTCCAGTTTGCCCAAGCCTAGGTCAGTCGAGAGGCAGAGGTCGGGTTCGAACCACGGACCTTCCGGTCAGTTAATTCGCGCTCTAACCACTTGGTCCATCTCGCCCACTCACGAATGAATCGCTTGATCCACTCTCACTCGTTCAGTCAGGTCGGTTCGTTGTGCACCTCTGTGAGGTGATATCATGGGGAGTGAAGGTCCAACACATAAGATACGATCAAACGTTACCGTCAACCATGATTCGTGACAAAACTAAAACCAGTGAGCCTTGCAACCAGAGTACATCTGAATCCAAAAGGCTGGCACATAAAACTAGACTGGTTAGGACAAAGCCGGTCCAATGCCACTCATCCACTTTAGACTCCACACAATAATGTAAGCAATTAGGGAAGCAAATGTGTTGCGAACAGTCAATAATTTTAGGTCCAAGATGCTCTTAATTGAGAAGCTCTTCCCAGTTTTTAAACCGACGAACTAGTGTATCGCGTGAAATTCGATGTTGTGGGGCATGTTTGATAATCAATATCATCATCACTGACAACACAAGATCAGCGTTTAAAACCAATGCGTCGCTACCACATAACGACAATTAATTTGGAAAAAACCTTACCACCAAACGAAGGAGGGATTTCTTAATAAGCTACTGCCTTGTTATCGTTTTCATACACATCTGCCGGGCCAAATGGTGACAACTTATCTGTTTTCACCACTCTGAATTAGGTGCAGAAAACAGCACTTTTCGTTAGATGATTCGATGTAGACTAATTTGACCAAAACTCTGCTTGTGATGCTGGACGTTCTCCATCCGAGGTCCCTGTTGCAACATCGAAGCTCGTTTTCCAGTGGTTTCGTTCTTGCTCCATTTGCACCAGTTAATATGAGTTATGGTCCTGAGACAACGACTATCGAGGACTTGAAGATGCCTCATTTCCGGTGATCACAGAGGCTATGTCTTAAAAGGGTATGACAAGACAGGTAGCCGGGTACAGCCGTCCTGTGAGATTCAGAGATATGACTAAATTGGGCAACATGGTCTGAGCCGTAGTGTTCCATGAATCGATCTCACCTATCACACTGCATCTGGGGATTGTACAACTTCTGAGACGCGCAAAACGGTTCACAGCCTCGACTGCCTCTTGCGTTCAAGGACTGCTTGACCTTACACCTTGTGGTTTTCGTCGCCTACACCAGGATTTTGAAGACCTAGTGTTAATCTCATTATCTCGTCGATCACGAAACTGAGTTGGGCTGGAGTTGGTAATGTGTTGAAATATTGATAGCTCGGGTCAGTTTATTGGTTGTTGATCTGTTCGCCGAGTTTGGCAATTGGCTTGCAAGCCAAGCTCAGCGATCAGATCAGCAGCCACCTGATCAACAACCAATCGGCTGGAATTAGTGGGCATGCTTCCCGGATTTGAAATTTTACAGCAGTGTTTTTGGGATCTCCCAATACACTTTCATGTACGCCAGTCTGAGAGTGCATACTTCTGGGATTTTGCTTGCTGGATTAGTTTCTTGAGAGGAGCAGATGGATCAACGAAGATTAAACATACCTTGATATTTCTTGAGCACATGGACTGAAGCTTGCCTATACATGTGACGTTATTCTAGGAAAGAGGCTCTTGGTGATTAGTTTGATGTTTGAACTTGCACCAAAAGGTCAGTATTTTCAGAAGACGCTCACTTGCTCAAAATGATGGGTTTCCTTTCGTACATCATTTTACCCTTCACTGCTTTGTCACATCGCTTACAGTCATTGAACGAAATAAGGCCTTATAGGAAGTTTGCCACAATTTTTGTACTCTACAGTCCAATCTCAACGCCTTAGCATTTCATTCCTTTTGAATAATGCTGTCTTATGTCATTTCAGCTTGCATGGAAGTTTTATCATCCAAATCTTACCAAGGCCTGCACAGTCACCATACATTTCTGCTTCATGAGTTCCGTTGCTGCGGCAACAGCACGCAGCGGTGCTTTGCACCGCCTTCGCCAGTGGCTCGAGAACACTAAGGTCCGTTTGAGGCCGGTTGAAATGGGACAGAATTTCGGCGCAAACTTCGTTAGCAGTGATCCAGCAACAGGAATGGCTTTGGTTTCTTTTCAGGAAACCAGCACAGATGAGCTGAATGGGATCATTTTGAGTGCTAAGTCAGCTCAGAGGCTTTGGTCATCAGTAACCCCACTGGAGCGCTCCAAGGTATGCGCTATTTCTTCTGCTCAACTCGTATTTTACTCATCACCCTATTTATGGTGACTGTGCAACTGGTCGATTGTTTTCCTAGATGTGGCACTACGCATGAGGTTGATGAATACCCTGGATAGTGCACTTCCGGTTTCATGCTCTTTCGGGACTATGAGACACACGCCTAGTCCCTTGATTCCCACTTATCACTCTTGAGCAGAAACAAACACTCATTCTAAAATTTAACTGAATCTGTCTTTGTGAGGAAGGTACGCTGAAAAGGAAACTAATTGCGAACAGCAGAAACTGACGGTCACTTTTTTAAAAACTGTTTAACTCTAGGGGCATTTGGTTGTTGCACAACGCAAGAAACTTTCTAAACCACACCAAATTCCGTTGGGTCTCACGGGTATTGTTTTTCTAGGGAAGTTATTGTGCACTAAATGTGTATAAAAGTACCATCTACTTTGACCGGTGTTGAGAAGCCTGCCCGACATTTTTTGCTGCGTTGCGCTGGTGTTCAACGAGAAATACAATCGATCTTACAATATCAAGCTTCATATCGCTGTCACAACGAGTAGAGGTAATTTTCCATAGAGTAAATAGACGAAAAGCCATTACATTCCTGTAAACGAGCTTCTAACGCCCCGAGTTGGCGTGCGGTTCCATTTTGAATGCTCCCTTTTCGGCTCCTTTCCTGTGCGACCGTCCAACTCGGGAATACGTACTACTCTAAAAACACTGTTATTCGTAATGCATTTGCTGGGCATACATCACAGTGTGTCCTCTAGACAGGTGGATGGACAACGATTTGGTGTTGGGAAACACACTTTCACTTGTGCCGCGTCGACATTGCAGTGAAAACCCACTCACTAATTTCTGTTTCCGTAGCCTTTTCTGATCGTGTGTCACCGTTTCCCCGCCGCTAAACCAGACCCGCTATATATAGCCATATTCAGACAATGAGCGCTCGATGCACCATTCCGTTCCAAGACTGCTTTTGTAGTGCTCTTTTTAGTTTACAACCTCCGGTTGTATTAGAGGAGGACTGTACAGTTGTGTTAGATGGGAACGCGTTATAGGGTACTTCTTGGTCAGAGAACTCCCTCATTCTATCTGTTCAAAATAATCCTGGTTTGGTTTTTTGTTGTCTTCTAACAACCCAACTTCTTCACAGCCTTTCGGTGTTCATATAAGAGTTCCATCCTTGTTGCTTTTCCTCCGTCAACCATGGATTCTCAAAAAATGTGCCAACTTACCAATCTCCATACGCTAGTAAGTAGCTGCAATTGCTTTAAATGATGACTCAAAGACACTACTGGTAGAAGAGCTTGCAAATTTTTCGATGCTGGTGGGAACAATCCGATGCCATTAAAAAGAAGCGATATTAGATTGAATATCCATCCACTGGATGATGGACTGGTATTAGATTGTTACGATACAGTAAGTGACTTTCAAGATCCAAAGTCTTGTGGACATGCAAGTGCCTACCACACTTTTCGTGGTGTTTCTTCCGTCGGTGAACCCCCCACCCCCTGTCTTTTTTTAGGTTCTGCATAACGTGGCAACACTGGTTCGGTCGGAAGCTGAATGGTTGGCCGAATTGGAAGTATTGGATACCGGGAAGCCTATATGGGAGGCACGAGCTGATGTGGATGCGTGTGCAGACTCCATCGACCTATTCGCTGGCTTTATCCCGACTTTGTCAGGATCACATGTTCCGGTGCCACCGAACCCTGGCAGGTTGGTTTCGGTTGATTTTAAGTCTTGTTTACCAATCTGTTCACAAGGTTACTTCTGTTAAGGTGTATCCTCGCTGTTTCGGACGTCGTCTTTCTCCCCTTTGGATCCTCTTTCTATGGTCTTTCCGGCGCATTATGCGAGGGTCTTCTGTTCATGGTATGCTAGGAACTCTTTTGGTGCTTCTTTAACCGCCTAACCCGAACCATAACCTACAGGGTTTACAATTTCGTAATTTCAATATTCCTTTGATAACTTATGCACAGAAATGCGCTGTTCCGATAAATTTCATCAACCACAGCTGTAAATATGCAGCCTCATTTTGAACTGAATCTCATCACAGAGTCTCCACCCATTGGCTTTCGAGGGGACCATTCAAAGTTAGTCTCAGCTAGGATTACCGGAAATAGAACCATGTCCTTGGCTGCTAAGGACGCACGGTACAGGTGACGATTATCATGCTTGGATGGTATCTTGCATCACTTTAGTTTATGTTAGTCAGTCGACGCGGGTGATCATTTAGGATAGTAAATGGACCTGCCAGTGGGACGTAGCACTTTCATGGACTCAGAGTAAAGCTGATAACTTTCCTCGGCTGAGGGAACACTCTCTTGGCTTTGTCAATAGGGTCCGTCAGACCTTAGGACGGGGGAACAGGTGATAGGTGAAAGCTCCTCTTCGCAGTAGGTCCCCGTTTAAGTTCGTCTGTTTCCATTGATAATCCTTTCTTGCTAGACCTGCTCATCTCAACGTCACGAATATGGGGTCCATTCTTGATTAATTCGAGACAGTCGTACCTTCTTTGGGCATTCCTTCACAGACTTAGCCGTCTGGCTGAGTGAAGCTGAACTCGTCTGACTGAGTGTTTTTTTCATCCTCCCAGCTTCTATTCACACGGAGGGAACCGTTTGGAGTGTGCGCTGGTATTGGAGCATGGAACTTCCCATTTCAGGTGAGAACTATTTTTTGTCTTTTAGGGTTACAGGTCTCTGATACATAACGTCTGTCTATCGAGCAAGAAAGGGTTGCTCATTTCAGCTTGAAATATTCATTTTTTGAGCAGAATTGTAGTCCTCTGAAAAATTATGCCATCCCTCGACTACTGTCGTTGATAATACCTGATGGCCGCTCGAGTTTGAGCCATACAATAACAAGTCTGGTTGTAAACAACCTACAAACAAGCCAGTGGTTGTGACATTAATTTCCATGGACCTCATAAACTTGCAGGTGCAACAATATTGTGTCTAGTGAAATGCACTCATTTGCAAACAAATTTGTTTTGTGGGGAGACTCACTTGGAACCCAGCTGAATCGCTCGGGAACTGCGGTGACCTTATGAGCCCCCAAAAAGGCGAAACCGGCCGTGGACCATCGAGGAATTTTCAGCAACCTAATTAGTAGTGTATTGCGTCCATGCAAGCATCGCACTATCTCGAATATCGTACGAACTGAAGCATGAGGTGGCCTGGTGCGTCACATACAGTTGCTTAGAAACAGCATGAGCGAGAGATTCGACTGGGTTCCGGGTGGGTTTCTCATGAAAGCAATTTTGTTTGCAAATGTGTGTTTCGCTGATTTCGTGTAATTTGGTTTCGTGTAGGACATAAGGTGGACGGGGACTGCGCCTACCTAATGAGTCACAAGAAAGCCGAAACCGGTCGTGAGCTGTCGAAGAAGTTTCAGCAACTGTGTGGGTAGTTTCCTTCAGACGAGATTACCACTTGCCTAAGGGGAGAGATGGCTCATTGGTTAGAGCACAGATTTACTAACCGGAAGGCCATGGTTCAAACCTGACTTCTGCCTCTCGACTTTCCTGTCTAGGTTTGGGCAACCCTGGAGTATCCCAGCACTTGTGCTCCCTTCTGATGGCATGGAAGTTGGGCACCGAAAGGGTTTTGCAGCCGGACGATTTTTTTACTACTTTTCTTACATCAAGGAATGTTCTATGCAATTGACCTAATGTTTGTGCGAACTTTACAGATCGATTCTCTATCATCACAGTAGCTCTTCCTGCAAACGGAAGGCTGTTGGGTCCAGTCGGACTCTTGGAACAACTTCTGAGTCTTGTTTTTAGCTTTTCAATATGCTCAAGTTTACGTCCCCTAGGTTCAACCATCCAGTTCAACCTTGCTAACGACACATATCGACACTATGCATCGAGCTCATAGAAAGCTGACACAAACGGTTTTTTTGTGGTTCTTCACCTGGTTATCCTTATGACAAAATGCGACCGAGTCCTTCAGTTTTGTATATTCAATGGACAGTGGTATATTTCCACATCAGCACTACTTCAGACTTTCTGTATTTGCCATCAAACACTGATAAAAGCAACGTAGAAATGACATTCCCTTGACAAAGATCTACTGGAATTAATCACAGGCGTTATTTTCAGCACATCTCACGATTTTTGGTAGGACAGAAACATTTGCTGGCCGCGTCTTTTACGTTTGCTGAGCTCCATCTACAGGGGGAAGTGTGTTCGAAATATAAATAGGCGATAGAGTTGGCAAACTACAATCGTCAGTCTCTATAAGGGTTCATTTCTAGGGGGTTCACCCGTTGTGGTCAGATATCGAAACCATTAATTTTTTTACTTGGTAGTATTTTCCGATATTACTGACAGCGTGTGCAAGAGATGTCAGGTTGACATATTTACCGCTCAATTTTACGTTGCTTTACTTCAGATGGCTGTTTGGAAGTCAGCGCCTGCAATTGCTGCAGGAAATGCCATGGTTTTCAAGCCCTCTCCCCTTACTCCACTGACCGCTTCTCGCTTGGTCGAACTGTATGTCAAGGGTGGTTGCCCTGAACATCTTTTCTCCGTGGTTCTTGGCGGGAATGAAGTTGGGCAGAAATTGGTCAATCATCCTTTTGTTGCAAAGGTCTCTTTCACTGGTATGTTCTGTTCTTCTTGTCTCAGAAGAACCCTCATTTTTTGCCAGGCAATCATATGTATCCTGCAGTTGGTAATAATCACAGGGGGTAAAATCAATGGAGAACTTAGGAGGCTAGTTTTTAAGCATACACTGAAGTGGAGAAATTTATTTGAGACCTTAAAACCCAAGTAACTGGAACAGTTGTCGGTTGAGCTTCGTTATGTGCGGGCATGGTTCGTTGTTTGTTTTTGGCATGCATCCGTACCCCATTTCTCCTTAGCAATCATTTCGTTTCCTACAAGTGCCTGTGTTTCACCCGCATTTTTCTATAGACATACCAACCGCTGGTAATATTTTTCTTTCATAAGTAGGCATCCAGGTTCACTGATAGGGCTCGAGTGTTCCTCATTTTGAACGGAACATCAACAAGATTCACAGAATGACTCCTCTAATCCAACTTAGCAATGAAACCTAGCAACGCAATCTCAAATAAAGGATTCACAGTATTTGTATCAGTGCTTTACCGTGCGAAATGCCTGATATTTCTAATAGAATAACTTTAGGTATTACTACATCATCTTGCCGGGTTGAAAGTAATCTTGCCACTCAAAAACACGTTTTGGAGACTTTATTAAACTGCCCTTTTTGGCATCCGTACTCTCAGTTTGTATAAGAACTTATGTTACTTTAAGCTATTGATCAAGCTTGTTTCGGCCCGACTGCGTTTGTGAAATAATTTCCACGCTTTCTGCTCAGATTAAGCTCAATGAAGCCGAAAGCATAAACAAGACAGGTGAAATAAAACAGACTACTTCCCCAATACTCAGTAGTGACAATGTCCGTGCAAGTCTCTTATATGCTTCCGGTGTCTCGTGCACACAGCTGTTCCTCATTTCAATTGAAATCTGCTCCATAATTTACATAGGGGATGTTCCAACAGCCTCAAGTTGTAAAACCCGGGATTTCTTTTGTGGCCAGCAATGCCTTTGGTGCATCACTCATGAAAACAGTGGGAAGGTTACCCGTACATCTTCGCAGTTTTAGAATAAGACCTGTCAAGCGTTCCCATTTGTGTATTGGTTGGTGTTTCACGCAAAAGCGTTTCCTTAGATATAGCACAGCTGAATGCAGTAATGATATGCTGTAAATGATGTGATCTAAAATGCGCTGGAGAAACAAGACTAGCTCGGTTCCTCCAGTGACGGCAATAGCAGTTGTGAACCGAGAATTCGAAGGTTCGATTGTACTTGATCACAACAACCAATACATACATTCAAGCAGATGTGTCGGCTAGTAATTCATGGACTATCGACTGTGTGAATTCTTTATCTCGATAATGCTTTGATAGAAGTGTTAAAAACACCTGTTTACGGTGCACTTTTCGTAGTTTCGGTAGGATTGAATCATCTATTTCTTACCGACTCTTTTAACCACACGGCGCCAACTTTGTTCGGCCCGTCCTTGCCGGGAATATAGCTACTCCAAAAAAGGAAATCGATGGCGCATGCAGTTTCCGGCCAGATTATTATGCTTCTGTCTTTGTTTTCATTCTGTTAGTGTGTGATTTACAGTTTACTGGATTCCTTGTTTCGATACCAACTTTTAAGGTAGTGTTGCCGGTGGACGTGCTGTTCTGTCGTCTGCAGCGCACCGTATCATTCCGGGTACCGTCGAACTCGGAGGCAAATCTGCATTGATCATCATGCCCGATGCGGATTTGGACGAGGCGGTGAATGGGACGTTAATGGCAAACTTTTACTCTCAGGGTCAAGTATGCTCAAACGCTGCCCGAGTATATGTTCATAAGTGAGTTCCCAATGTTCGTCAGGCATATGACCGGAATTGAAGCATCCACTAAGGAATTTTAGCTTTCTAGTGCGTTTTGATCCCGGTAATAGCGCTTGTGTCCACAATGCTTTCCCGAAGCAGCTATGTGTACAATGGGACTTCTGTAATTCCCGCGGCACGGCCCGGGGGCGAGATGGCTCAGCGGAAGGTTCGTTGTTTGAACCCGACCTCAGCCTCTCGATTCCCCTGTCCTAGGCCTCGGCAACCTAGCAGTATTCCAGCCCTCGTACTTCCTTTGGGTGGAATGGCAGTTAGGATGTTACAGCTGAGCTAGTATGCCTGCCATTCTGCTAATAACGAGCCTGATGGGAAACGATTGATTTAGATCATAAAACCAAGTGCCTACTAATTACTAAAAATGCATCACACTATAACGTTCACTTCCATCTTTTAGTTTTAAGAGAAATGTGCTATTTTTCGTAACTTTGAAATAAATTTGCCTCAGTTGTTGCTACTAAAAAGGAGGGAACTAATTCGATACAGTTTATAACAAGATTTTGATGCGAACAACCACAAACGGCTACTACAGTGGAGAGAGATTTCACCTTGCCTTCTTTGATCATTTCAAACGCGTTTGAGATATTAGGATATATCTAAAGTCCTCTGCACCGATTAGTTCACCTGACGTATGTATGTGACTCAGGTTGCTAAAAATGGAGCCTTGTTTGTAGCGTGAAAATATCTGAGAATGTTGATGGAGATTTCGCCCTGTCAGTGAAGCCAGTCTATACTGAACAACTGTTTCATTCTCGTCGCAATCATCAGTAGCGCGCACCTCACGAAACTTCAGAGACTCTCGAACTCGCGACCTCCCGGTTAGCAGTTAGAACCCTAAGCCGTTCGGCCACCAATGCCTGGTCAGCGTTGTGATTAAGTCGCTCTTTGACCGGACATAGAGCCCCCTCACTCTTCATTCATGAGATCCACATCACGTGATCACGCTTGTTTACTGATTCCTCGAACAATGGCTTTTCAGATGGAGGTTTTGCCCTTTTTTCCCTGAGCAACCTCTATATTGGTGACAGTGCAAGGAGGTTTCGGAGTTTTAACGGAGGTTTCATCCTGTAGGCGAAGCCAATTTATGCCCAAAGACCGAGAAGCAATGTACAGCTGGTTTGGTGTTCAAACCGGGATGTCGCAGATTCGAGACTCTGGGTTTCCGTGAGATGAACACTGTTGATGATTGCCAGTGAGGAGAAAACAACTGTACAGTGCTTCTCGGTTTTGCTGGCAGGAAGCAGCCTTCATTGAAAATGATGTCTCCCATGCAAACTCTATGGGTGTTGCTTTCTGCTTGAAGATCTCACCATCGTTAAAGCGACTGGAAACCACCTGCCGATTTTTCTGCCAGTAAGCTCTTTTACAGTGTAGACGGATGCTAAAGATCACTTACTGCAGTGTTCGGATTTACTCAAACATCGGTGGTCAGCGTACCAAATGAGTTTTGGCGTTAAAAAATCTTATCTCTTTGTTCTTCACCAGCCTTACACCTGTTTCCATGTGAGTGGAGGTGCATCAAATTCTAACTGTACTAAGGCTTCAACAGGCTTCTCAAGTTGAGGATTTCTAGGACCATTAGGCAACCTACTCCTGTCAAACTGTATGGTCCAGCTTGTTTTATTGTTTCTGTCTGTTCATTCTCGCCATCCAGTACCTAGAAGTTCCATCCCTAGAAGAAGTTGCTGTAGTAACCTTTCGACCTTATCTTTAATTAACCATCGAACAGGTAAACAACTTTGAGGATCCATCTTACTGACATTTTTGCATCTTCCATATCTATAGAACTATTTTGAAGGAATTCCAAGCGAAGTTGTTATCTGCAGTAGATTCTCTCCGTGTTGATGACCCCTTCTGTCCATCCACGTCAATGGGTGCAATGATCACGGCGGAGCACAAGGAAAAGGTTCAGAAATACATTCAGAGTGCCATTGCTGAGGGTGCCACGCTCCTGACTGATGATAAACCAGCCATGTTCCCACCCGATTCACCGCTTATCTCGGGACACTTTCTAAGACCGTGTGTATTGACAAACTGTCGCGATGACATGACTGCTGTCAAAGAGGAAATATTCGGGCCAGTTTTGACACTTTTGACGTTTGAGAGTGAGGACGAAGTCATCCAGAGAGTAAACAACAGGTTTGTTCATCTATTTTTACGCGTGATTAACCATTGTGTATTTTAGTGAACTCGGTCTGGCAGGTGGAGTGTTCACTCAAAACCTGAGCACAGCACATAGGATTGCAGCACTGCTAGAATGTGGATCAGTTTACGTGAACAGCTACAACGTATATCCACCTGGGATTCCTTTTGGTGGATACAAACAGTCTGGGTTTGGCAGAGAAAATAGTCTGGATACACTCCATAGTTATACACAGCTAAAGGCTGTGTATGTGGAAGGCGGCAAGTTACCTCATCCGTTTCCCAGATAGCCACCAAATTACAAGTGATGATTCGGCTATGATCGAGAAATACCCGCGTCACTTTATCAACTATGATCTGCGATTCCTTCGGAACGCTATATTCGGATTATTGAAATTATGATTTTTGTAAATCTTTCATTGTCCTTTTTTTAAAAAAAATTGGTCCTAGATCCCGGAACGTTCGTCCATCCAGATCCGCTGGCAAAATGTGTGTTTATCATATCAAACACCAATACATGAAAAGCTCATCACAATGAAAAAAATCGAATCATTCCAACTTGGCTGTTTGTTCTCTTTGGTACATCTTATCGGGTAACCGAGTTTTCCCGAAAAATAATGCATGTTCAAGGTAAAGATGTGGTCATCTATCGAGAATTGAGATTCATCGGGTGGACCTAGGTGAGTTGGACATGGGACGCTTTGGTTAACTTTTTCTAGGCTGTAACCACCGAACCACACATCCGCCTGAGTCTTCGCAGCTGGCTATACGCCAGTAGTCTGGTTATTGTCAGAATTAGTCATCAGCTGGTTGAATCAAGGAATCCCAATTCAAGCCGACGCATTCCTTTATGTTGGCCATGTGAACTGAGATTAAGTAACTATCGTATTGGTAGCATTGAACTTGAAACCTATTCCTGTGATTTTGACTACTCTGCTGTTGATACCTTACGACTGAAACTATCTGACTAGATACTGGGAATAGCTTTCTAAGTCCATTGTGAAGAAGTTGGGCGGCTCCTCAACCTCTATGTATCAAGCTTTCTGGGACAAATCAAAGTACATGTGAAAAGGTACAATGCAATTGATAAATTGTGTAATTGCAAGCATCCGGGTACATGGGAAACGATTACCGGTGCAGCGGAACATGGTAGCTAGGTATAGCTCTATTTTTCCAAAGCATACCCTCATTACTTCTTCAGTGGATATAGGGACCAGTTTAGAATCGCTTGCAATATTCCTTGAATGGTAGGCTACCATAGATAGTGACTCTATCATACTTGCGGGCTTGTTAGAGGGAGAAACGATGGGGACGGAAATCAGTACGGGATATCAACTGCAGAGTAAAATCACCCCTTAACGGGGCGAAATTCCAAACTGTAAGGACTTGCGAGCGGCCTTCTTACAGATAAGTGGTTTTGTGGAAGTCTAACGCTTGCCTCGATATCTCTTGTAGTTGGCTCCCTTACGGAATAATAATAGAACATAACACCACTAACTTGCAACAGAATCTAAAGGCTCGTAGTGCAAGGTGAAATGATGGTTGCACTTGCGATGTCGGATGTCGGGTTTCACACACCGGATGTGTGCCACATAATTTTTAATGCCGGTCAGTTCATGAGTTAATGGACCTGAGCGAACACAGACGATAACGGATGGATACTCGGATATGGAATATTCATGTTTGCGGTGGGACAAGCCAGGTTTTCTTGAAATTTTTGTCAGATCGCTAACACTGCTATCTTAATGACACTATTAATAACGCGCATGCTGAATTGGCAGTGGTATTCCAGAGGCGAGTGAGACACTCCTGACCATGGTGATGCCAGTTGAGCCCCAGCGTTCCCGGTGTGGTGTTAATGTTAACGCTGATGGTAACCAGCTTATGACAGCTTACGCATAGCTAGCCAAGATGCCTGGATGCGGTTGCAGTCTGGTGTACGAACTGGGAGATCGTTAGCACTACTTATCCAGTCTCAGTGGCAACCTATGAAGTTTGCTAAATCACATATAGTCCTACCTAATTTTTTCGCTGACCTCGTTTAAGCGACTGGAGCATGAACACCGAAATCATTATTTTGATAAAAGCACCAAGTAAGCCTTCGTCGGGATGCAGTCTATCCGATCCTCTCAATGAACCTATCCGTGTATTTACGTGTTTAGCTGTTTGTCATTTTTCGGACCATCATCGCCGCTGTGCCTTGAGAGCAGCTGTAGTCTGCCTTGTGTTCATCTTCAAAATCAAGCTTTTCTATCACCCATTTTAATAACAAAAGTACTGACCGTTCAGCTGTGGTACCCTTTCGGTGCATAGCTGTTGTACAACCTGAGCGGAGCAGTAGAGCTGGAATACTGTCAGATTGCCAATGCCTAGACAAGAGCGTTTGAACTGCCAGATTGTTCATGAACAATTGGCTTTCTGATCAGTAGCTCCGCACCTTAACGACTGACCTATCTCAAGCTGGCTACCTGCCGTTCTCCCGAGACCTACACAACTTTCAGAAAAAAACGTAACGTGTACGTAGCTGTCTTTTAGCGATCCATCGAAAGGCTCCCAGGAATCCATGCGCTGCATGAATGTCTCATGAAACCTTCACCACAGATCAGCTTGGCGATCGTATCATCCGGATCGAAAATGATATATGTACTGTTGTTAGTCTCGACAACTATCACGTAAACGTTCTTCCTGAAAGTGATCTACATGCTTTGTTAGGTTCTAAAAGCTCATAAAGGCTATAAGCAGAGTATGGAAAACTTCAGGGGTTTAACTGGCGCATTCAATTTATTTTGTCTTCAAAGTACCCTAGAAGTGTTTCAGATAATGAAAGAGCAGCCAACAGCGGAAGACTATTAATTGGGTACCACAGTCTTGGAAGCGTTTACACACATGGGAAATGATCTTGCTGGTGAACTCCAAAGCTGAGTGTACAGCTCTCATCGCTAGAAATGAAACTGCTAAAACTAACAATACTTAGTCATGTCGCCTGCAGCAAATAAGCGCTCTTGCTCCACTGATATTTGAAGCCGTTCTCCCGACTGAGACAAAAGGTTTCTGCGAATCCCAGTATCTCCTCTAACGATAACGACATACTAGGAATCCACTGATTTGTTGACTTCGGGTGTATACGGACTTCTTATGGAAGACCCTCAGTGAATATTCTGAGGCTGTTTCTTGAATTATTTTAAGCACATGTATGTGGTTGAACGTTTTGGAAACCTAATGAATTCTAAGCAGATCCATCGCATACGCAGCAGTCGACACAGAGAGAACGTATTTCTTTTACTACATACGACTATTCATATTCATTGTAAGTTGACCTCTCCATAGTACAGTATAAAAGCCCATCTGATTCGTTGCCACTCGGTATATCAATAGTCACTTTCAGTGGTCACGGTACTTCAGATAAGCTACAGTGTGACTATGTTCTTCGGGTGCAATCGCTTACAGTGCTGCTCAGCAAGATCACTGTGTGGCAGCTATTCACCGTTCAAATGACGTAGAGCACAATAATCTCGTTTAGTACACTCACCTGCTTTATTAATCGATTTGAGCAATCTTCTGTTGAGGTTTGCATGGGACGAAATTTACTGAGAGATATCTCCACAAACTTTTAAAGATCCAAGCGACACAAATCAGGGTTGTAAGCCTAGTTGAAATTCATAATGCATGGGGCTGAATTAACTTGATCTGTTCATGTATTTGAACAAAAAGTATGGATAAAACGCAGCCGTTTGGATGAAGCTTGGAAGAGCCTTTCGAAAACAAGTCCACCCTTATTGTGCCTAGTTTATGATAACCTGAAAAAGAAGAAAAAGTAACACCGTTAGCTTTCGTTCCTTGTCCGTACTGATTGCTCCTACAAACATTCCACTGCAGTGCATTCTAAAGAGGATTCACTCATGGAACCAACTTCGAAATGACTACAATCCATTTTCGGTGACCTGTGATGACAGTTCAAATTTTTCTGCATGCATCTTGGTCCTGTTATTGGAGTTTATCTACTCTGGAAAGCTAATAATCAGCGTATAAACGTTTTATCTTTGTTTGGAATAATCACCGGTGAGTTTCTGACGAAAACCCCGCGAGATATTGATTGTTTACTGTGGAAGAATAACAGACACAGTTCTCAACAAGTCACGAAACTGCATTTGAGAGGTGGTCAACGAAACACCGCTCAACACCACGTCACGTTGGCTGAATCTGCGCGGTTGGAGCGTGTGATACTGTAGCTCGCCCATATTCACCTCACACAGGAGCTCTCTGCTCCAAACCTCCATTGAGATTCCTGAGGTTCGTCGTTCCTGGTCTCCACTAAAGTAAAGACAGTTGCACAGCACATCCCCGGTTATCGGGATTATCGAATCGGCCCTGCTTCAAATGGCCGAATGTAAAATCACTACCTCGTCTTTGATCAACCACCTTGCAAGTTTAGCATGATATTTGAGTCAAGCTGACACAAATCCTCTTTAGGCAATACGACTCTGAGGTCAAAAATCATAAATACTAGGTGTCCACGTGAGTTCCTGCAACTTAGTCACAGAAATGATTCCAACGAATCCAAAAGCATTCCACCATAGAATACTTTTCAAAGTAAAAATTACCCGAAACACAACAGCAAATAGTCTATGAGGACCATCTATCTCAAACGGCAGAATGACACCTGACACCTGACCTAAACATTAAATCATAAGTGAACGAATTTATCACACTCTGGTTCAGCAAGACTCAATGCCGACAACGGAGTAAATAGAATCATATTGGTTAGGAGGTCGTGCTGAAACGCTTCAAGCATTTTGACTTGGTGAACGAAATTGTCTGGAGAAAGCAGACAGTGCCGTCTCAAGGTCTTATATTACGTTATCGTCTGCGAACAATATTCGCTAGCGCAATGCGCTTTTGAAAGGAGCTGCTCAGGACCATCTTTGAATAAGCTGAAGAATGGCAAATACATCTCTCGAAAAAGTTGTAGGACCGACCATGATTTTCATGATATCCCCGGTCCAAGTCGATTGAAGGGGACGATGTTCGGTCGTTAAGTCAGGAATTTGGTCGAAAGCCCATAAGTCAGTCAGTTACCAACCGAACAATATGTGTATAATGGAACGGATGAAAGTAACTGTTGCAAAACTCTGAGATCATTGTTGTCTTGGGCGGTTGAAAGGCCCATCCATGCCACTCTGACCAGGCTTGTGGTAAAGTAGAAGAAAAAACGGATGTCGGAATTAGTACCGGTGAATTATAACATATAACTTCAGTAATGTCCTGTAAGTCACTTAACTGCCAACGCAAATAACAGTCGATATAGCGAACGACAACAACAACAGATCAATAGTGCAACGCTAGTCGAGACGAATGGTTGTGTCACGAGCATCCGTTAGAGTGGTGTTTTTGTTCATTACATCAAAGGCAACAGCAGAATCAATTGCTTTGGGAATCGCCATTCCAAATCCTTTCGTACTTTGTTCAAGCGTGGGATTTTGAATTACTGCTACATTGGTTGGAGTGAACGGATACTGAGTAGCTGAATGTAAACAATCTGGCAGACCCAGTTAGCCCCGTGATTTCGCCAAGCTCACTCTGAGGCTTCTGTGAGCTTGAAAGCCATTCTGTTGGCCTGATGAGCTAGAATTTCCCCGCTTTGTCTTTTGCTTTCTCCAAATGTGTCTGGTGAGGGGAGCGTTAGCAACTTCCACACGCGGTTTATAGTGGTGCTATGGATTTTGGTGAAGTGCAGTTCGTCACCATGACAACTTGACAGGCAAACATGATTGCGCAAAAACTTATGGGTCTAAGTAGCACACGGACCGATGCAAAACTGAATGAAAAAAGCTGTAGTCAATGTCCTTACTCGCCATTTCAACAGGATGTTGACATTAAAGAAAGCCAATAGGAGGGGATTCGAAAATGAAGATTCACCGGTCCATTCTAATAAGTTAGCAGATGTGACCAAGTTAAGGAACGCACTTAGTAACACACTAAGCGTTTGGTGAACTCAAATCAGAGCAATCCATATCTTGGTGGGCGGATTAAACTGGTCGGTTTGTTCTGCGTTTAAGATACCTCAGAATAAAAACAGCTCTGTGTTTAAGCGCGGATACATGCAACAGAGATCAAGAGGAACTGAGAATCATGCTGATTGGGAAATGTAGTATTTGCAATGAGAAAAAAATCGGATATGCATCGTCCGGTCTACTCGAGGTGTCACCAACACGACATCAAGCAAATACAACGGATTTTTAGCGACTGATTCTATTTAACTAAGTCTGTGGTGGTTTCGAAGGAAAATCGGCAGTAGTGGACAGAAAGTACACAACAGATTCGTACTTAACTGTCCTCTTTCGATAACTGGCTGTACGACCTTTCAACATGACAATGCTTCCATGCAGTCTACTTGTCTCGGATGGATGGCTGGAAATCGAGGCTTGAACCCCATCAAACATTCGGGGTAGTGATGGTCGAAATCCTCGACACAACCAAAGAAATGAGGGCAAAAACACAAAGGAGAGTACTTCCCGACTAACTTGATGCCGACTATTCTGAAACAGCACGTTTGGTGATCAACAATGAAACAACATTTTGTGTGACATAGTCAGTTTTGCGCTCAAATTATTTTGTTTTCGACAGCCTTTCACAACATGCCATAGAGGGTCATCTTACCATAATCACGGCCATTAAATCACAAAGCCCTGAACGTTGTCCAAAGCAATCTACACATAGGCGGGGTGATTTTAATTTGACAGGAATTTATGCAAAATAATGGGTGGCTCAACGGTAAACCGAGGGTTGCAATGAGTCAACGGATATGAATATTATTTTGCGAGTGTTATTTTTGTGGCATATCTCACCTGTGGTTCGAAAACACTCTACTTTACACTTAAGTAGGAAGCTTCTGTGCCACTGTTAGTGATTTTTCAAGGTAGTTAAATGACCGCTTGAAACTAGAATGAAAGTATATTTCCGGACACAGTATTTTGCTACCTTGCAGTTTCTTACGTGTGAACGAAGAAGCTGGCATTCAAAAGACTCTGTTCGAATTTATTCGATAAATTTTCAGTACCACCTTAACGCTGTTACTCTAACGGCGAGGATTCGTTGATGACCATTGAAAATATGATATCGATTACGCATGCACAAAACTTACCACGTCTCCTACATCTCCAAGGTACCCAAAAGTCCTTGCTGAAAATGTTCCAAAAACAGACGAATGTATTTTACTTTTTGCAACAGAAGTTAGTAAGCGAGCACTGATCATTTGGTCAAATGTTGTCTTGATTCGCTAAGCTGACCTTGTCACAAATCACCCCTGGATGATAGGAAGCCATAACAATTTCATAGGTGCGTATGTTTTTTACCTGTACTCTATACCTTAAAGAACTTATCATGGGAAAATAAATTGATCCACGTCTACGAGTACCGACTTTGTGGACTGGGATTTTTTACCTGTACTCTATACCTTAAAGAACTTATCATGGGAAAATAAATTGATCCACGTCTACGAGTACCGACTTATGTGGACTGGAAACTCACCCGCTATCAAACAGCTATCAAGATACTCACCTGTCTCATAATTTGCATTGCACAGGGATGTTCGGCAGCAAATACGCCGTGCATAACCTATCACTTCATACGGCCAACAGAAGGCACTGCATGACTGATAAACTCTTCTCCCTAATCCCACGATGAACAGTTCCTCAAACTGAAAGGACAATAACAGCGATACTAATGAGGGTTTAACATGTTGGGCAGTTGGAAATAAGAATATCTAAACATCGTGAACGTGTTTGGATCTCGGTGTGTTTTTTACAACAACCCCCTGTGTTCTCTTCTCTGGTCTGCTTAAATCTTCCAGATCAGTGCCCATTTTGTCGCCGCTTTTGCAATGCTTACTAGACCCCAGAATTTACCCCGCAAGCATCCTGGGCCATCACAATGCGTCAAACAGAATACCAAGACATTGAACTGCACCACATGTAAAAAAAACCATTCTGTCAACTAACCGCGCAGTACCGACAGTTACTTTCGGTGCGTTGAACCAGTTGTCCAGTTGCGAGGCTAAAATCAGTATGATAGCATACCAGAGTCTGTCTCACGGCTGTAACAAATAAAAAGAACTTATTTAGCCTCTGTTCACTGTTGAAGTAACTTTTCGATTCGAAGGAATAGTTTCTGTGTTATGGATGAAAAAAGAGATTAAAAATGTGAAATTGTCCTTTACCGCGAAGACTAACCGATTGCGGTGCTCACGAAAACAAGTAGGAAAAATTGAACTGGGGCAGTCATTTTACGAGTGCCACGGTCCTTCGTATGTCAGCTGTCTAGAGTTTTTATATGTGTGTGCAGATAATACTGATTGATTTGTTCGAGCGTGATCGAAATCAATAAATCGACTACTAGTTCAACCTAGTCTGGATCGAGAAGCAGTACAATGACTTTCAAGACACTCCTGAGGTTGTTCCTCGTTGAAATTCAATCACAGTAGCACTTGATTTAGAAAACCGGTATCGTTAGTTTCTTCTGTAGCAGTCTCCCAATATGTCCTCAAGTTTGACGCCACTGGTGAGTCTTTAATCGAGTGGGCAAACGTGTTTCACCCATTTGAAATACATCACTTGATTCCACCTACGTTTCAGATACCACACATAAATGCTCAATGAAAAAAGAACAGAGGAAAAGAGCAAGATTTTTCGGATGAACTGGCTAATGAATGGCTCCTGTGGATGCACAATTGTCAGTCATCTAACGCAGTTAGATTTGGGACTCGTCTTACTGACTAAAACTACTGGGACTGGAAAAATATCGACTTCACCATCCTCTGATAGTCAGAAACGTTCGACTTATTTCAACTTATTGCTCCTTACTTCGTTTTAAGGGCGAATTTGTTCAAACTGATGCCACAGTCCCTCTCCAGATGGAGGGTCAGTCAGTATGTTTATGCGATACGACGATCCAAGGCTCCATCGGTACGTGGGAAATGGAACTGGGAATAGTTCGTAACGCAGAATACAGTGTCGCGGTCTTCTCATTACCAAATTATCTCACGTGCAGAACAAACGCTTACACGAAACTTCAAAATCTTCTGGTGATCTGGAACTGTCGCGATAGAGATTCGACTCGACACTCAACGAAACACGGACAGAATTCACTGGTGAAATCATGCTTGAGAAATACCCTTTGATCTTATTTTCATTCGAATCAGTCTCAGTAATTTAACAAACTGACGAGTTGTTAAGCTGGAATGTTCTCATCAAGCTCGAAAGTTTGGAGAATGCCAAAACGAATAATGAGGAACTTTAAACCAGGTATATACGGAAGACAATGGATAAAAACTCATCTTCTATACATTTTCTTGCTCAGTAAACTTACAAAAAAGCAATTTTCGTTGTGGGTGGAGGTTGTGGGATACGTGTTGTTCATTTTCATATCTCGTCTGAAAAGTTGTCCTCCTGTCCTGGTATTCTGGTGTGGACTTACGAAGACAGGAGTACGAATAATCAAACAAGAGCAATGTAAATATGAAGAAAAATATTATTCTCAACGGTAAAATTGTTAGTATAAGTCCTGTAGGATTTCGGAAGTAAGCTTTTAGATTAAGCTTAATTAGATTTGACAGCTTACTCACAAGAATAAAGGTATGTCCGCTCATTGACGTAGCAAACTGAGCAACAATTCCCATGGGAGGATAATCCTTCTCAAAATCGGACACTGGAAAGAGTTGAATTTTCGCAACAGTCTGACATTAAGGTGAGATGTGTATTATTTGAACCTATTATCATGGCTCAATGATGTAGTCGATAAAATCCACTTAACAAATTTGTCTATCAGTTGACGTTCAACCAGAAACAGCTAAGTTGGTAAGGGTTATAGTACTGGACTTCAAAGAGATTTTCATATTTTCTATAACACTTTCATGTGAGTCTTTAAGTGGCTCATGAGTGACGTCATGCAGATGTCGTTTCAAAGCGCCCCGTCCGCAATGCCTATAAGAATTCGTTGACTTACAGGAACCACAGGACTGTGGATTGGCTGGTTTCAAGTGGTCATGCTAGGTGGTTAACCCTAGGATTCTGCTTCTTTTTACTAAACACAGCGTTCAATACAGGCCAGTATTAGGGTGAGCGGTACTTGTGCTTACTGTTTGACTTAGGACTACAGACTTTATTTGAGGACTCAAAAGTCCTTTGTGCAAAGCCCCGGATGCTGGAAACCACGCATACCTATCTGACGTCTCGTCAGGATCACAGTGCGCGGCCATGTCAAAGCATAACATAAGCTCTCTTTGTACAACGGTGTACGAGCAGAAGTCTTATAAATTCACATGGACACCTGCTCATCGTTAACAGTGCACGCGAAACTTGCGTGCGGGAGCTTCCTTAGAATCACTGGCTAATGTCCCCCAATGATCAACACCAGCTTATGAACAGTTTACTTATATTACGTCAGTAGCTTAAAAATCAGGTCTCAATTTTGGAAACGAAGAGTGAATTAGCATTTGGAAATGATGTTTTCCGGGAGAAGAAGAAGCTATGAAACCTAAGTTCACTTGACCCTTGGTTGAGACTGTTTGTTTGTAGCCTCTTGTTTGTAGCAAAGTGCGCTTGATGCGATTCTTACAGTAGAACGAAAATCTTTGGTACTTTTCTCTCTGGCCATAAGAATCGTGTAGGAAATTTCAGACCCGTTGGTGGAAATTAAAAACCGATGCCCTTTCATGAGTTTTGAAGCACGACCATACGTGGAGGAGCTGTATCATGCTTTAGAAATGCGTGGATAGTCGGTTCATCGTGCTTGAGAGATTCATTGAACCCCCATTTAATTATAAAAGAATTTTTATACTTTTCAATCAATTGGAAAAGGTTTGGAACCGATTGAGAAGTCATCTTTTCAGAAGAGCTTGATGACAATCGGTAGTTTTTATTTGGGCAACGTTTCGCTTTTGACACAAAAGCTTCATCAGGCCAAGTGAACAGGTCACCAAATTGGCCAGGTTATAAGACAGACGGGGAACCAATCAGTAAGTCCTCTTCACACTAGATCAGTGTTGAGTGTCAATTAACAGCTCTTGTCGTCTAGCGTGGGTGTCAAAATCTTGAATTGGTGGGTTGGAGGAGTTCCAAATTAATTCCGATCGCTTTTCGTTCCTTAATCTTCCACTTCAGAGTGCTTCACTTGATGATTCACCCCGGGGACCACTGGTAGATCCTTGGTAGATCTTTTCTAACATGGTGCATTATGAAACTTGCATTTCATGTCGTGTATGGGCCAAAAGTAAATAATATTTATGAAAATATTAAAGATTTGTTCTCACTGAAAAAGCTATTACTTTTCAGCCCTTTGAGAGGGAAAGTAGCACCAGGGTGTCCTGAAGGAAGACGAAGACATTCGTCTGGTGCGTTTTCAGAGCTCTACATTACCGCGGATTTTGTCTTCAGACAGTTAAGCTATTACCATCCAAAGAGGGAGGCTGAGTCTCGTATGCAGCTACGTCTATGTGACCGAGTACTCCGGTAATCTTGTACAACAAGTACAAACCAGTAAGAAATAAAAGCCCCTTTGTTTTGCTGAACAAAACACAAAAGCGTTTCAAACACAAGTTTTCATGGCAATCTCGAATACAGCACAGGGAACTTGGATTTCGCGCGTTGCGTTGGATGTATTCTGTTGTATATTTTTGCGTGAGTGCGGCAGAGGACCTTCAGACAGGAAAAGCATCGGGATACTGAACACAAGCCAACTGTCGAAGGTGGGTCAACTATATGGTCAACTCAGTCGGTTCCCATCCGCTGGTAGCAACTGGTTCAGTAAACTGCCAGAGCTCATACTTTCTGGACCCCTGTGTGATATGGAGCGCTGCCACGGCGCTGTCACGTAATCCAATTTTGAGTTAATGACGGGTTATCAGTGAAATCGTTGTCCATTGTGCTTGTCGGCCAGAATGTTTTTTATCCGGACTTAGTGAGATGGATGCTTCACACGTTGCTGTTTTCAGGATAAGATGCCTTCGGTGTGTACTGAAGTTGTAGAAATTTGACTGCAGATTTTGGCATTCAGTCCCCGTTGAAAAATTAATACAGGTTCGGCACCCTGGTAGGACCACTAGACAACTGAGATTAAATACTGCTCCACAAGCTCACTAATTTCAACTCCTTTTATTTTCAAAATCTGGAAAGCGTTCTTTGACGACCAAATGGATGAGAAATTTTCAGCTAAGCGTGCCGCGCTTCTTTGCAGATTCTGGTGAGTTCTCGTTTGAATGAAGCGATCGCTCTAAATAATCAAGTTAAGTTTCGATGTTCTTAAAGGCGACGAACAACAACAACAATGGATCACACCGACTGTGATACATCCAAGCGGTGGATACGTTCAATTCTCCCCAAACTAATTACAACTTGCAGATAGAACATCTTTGAACTGCCGTTCAATATTCCTTTCCAATAAATGTGTTGGTCAGCCTATTGTGAACTGGACGCGCAGTGTACTCAGGTCAGAATTCCCCAGAGAGATGTGATGTAACTGTGACCCATCAAAAAGATGCCGTTTCGCAAGTACCGTAATTCGGCAAGTGCGCACGAAAGTAATTTGCCGACCTCAAGAACCCGTGAAGTAAGTCTATCATACACGTTCACATATTTGTGAACGTGAAGTGACTTGCATCAGAAAACACAGTCACTGTCGTCAATTAAACACCAATTTCAGCAA